TTCTTAAAAGTGAAGACTCAGAAAGCATGTAGGAAGGAAGAAATAAGGGAGGGGAGCATATAAGGAGAAGGAGTAACCTAATGTACAGACAGCAAGGAGAAAAATATTATTTTTCTACCTCTATAAAGTAGGCAATAAGTTGAGAATAGGAATATAAGAATCAGAGAGCAAATCAGTGTCACTTTGTTTAATCCGTGTGACTGTCTTTTTATGTTTATCATTTCAGAGGTTAGTCTTCTGAAGTAAGATCTTTCATTATCAACAATGCTAACTCCTTCTCAATTCATTTGGTGATTTAATTCTAATTGGTGTTGAGAGATAACTGAAGAAGAAGCGCTTTTTTAATGTCGTTTTTGTGCTCTTTGATCTTTGTTTCCAACCTTCTCTTAGTCTGGCCTATGTATGTTGCCTCACAATCAGCACAATCAATCTTATATATTACACCACTATGTAAAAATTTAAACGCATTAAACAAAGTGACACTGATTTGCTCTCTGATTCTTATATTCTGATTCTCAACTTATTGCCTACTTTATAGAGGTAGAAAAATAATATTTTTCTCCTTGCTGTCTGTACATTAGGTTACTCCTTCTCCTTATATTCCCCCCTCTCTTATTTCCTTCCTTCCTACATGCCTTCTGGGTCTTCACTTTTAAGAATTATCATTAACTCACAGTAGAGAACATGGTGACATTCGACTAACACCTACATATATAAGAATTTCTCTCAATCACATACGTGAATTCACTTCCAAAGTTTTAATAATGTCAAATTGATTCTACAGACTTCTGATTAACAGGTATGTGACTAAAAATTTTAATTATTTATTTTGTTAGGTATATAAATAAAAAATTTTTATTAACTTGACCTTAATTACGGAAAAAGTTTCTAACATATATAATTATTTAGATTTGTAAAGGTAGCACTGAAGATAGCTGAATGATTAGCCGAAACGTTTGCTACTTACAAAATACATTGGTTACAATAAAAGATTTCAAGAACTACAATCTTCTTTGGCTTGAGATCCTCCTGCTATCCATCGATTAAAAATATTTATGTTTTGTTGGTGAATAAAAGATTTTAATATAAAAGAAACAAACATTTAAAAAATTCGAAAATAAAATTATTTTGAACATATATATCAGTGCTCGGAATTAGTCTGAACATTTCAGCCGATTTCCGTGGTATACGCCTCCTCTCCTCTCCTTACCGCGCGCGCCGCAACCGCTAGGGCCAGCGCCGCCGAGCGTTAAGAGCGGCACTATCTGATTATGAGTAGGTTCTTCTCCCTATTTATTAAATTATAAA